TAATCAGTGTTAAAAGAAAGGTTAGGAAGGAGGGTAGATGAAAAACGTCTTAAATTCTTCAGGATCTCAGAGATGCGTGGTTAAGAGAGATGGCACACTGTCATGCTGAGTTTTTTTTCTCCCAGCTATAATGCAGTGAGTGTAGCTAGGAAAGTTATAAACAAATGCAATAGCATGGCATGGACGTGTCTATCTTCAAACTCTAGTGCTCTAAGGCTTGCTCATGTGGCAGTGTTTTGGAAGATGAATTTTTTAAATGTCCAAAAAAGTGAGGCACTTTCCCTTCAACACACACACCTTAGATTTTAGAAAGTGCAACAATATTCTCTATATCCATGGTAAAGTTGGCATATTGTCATTCTAGTGGATTGGATAACTTCATTTTAGTGTTGCAGTCTCCTTAATGCTACTGCAGAAGTGCTCATTAACTGCTTCATTGGTAAATATCCAAATGGCTATCCATAATTACAGATCATCCACTACTTTTATATTGCCAAAGTGGTACACGTATTATGCATTCAACTCTCCAGTTATGTCTTGGGTATTTTTCCTAATATGTTTTTGCCATTTTTTATTGACTTTTATAACAAAAAAAATCGGAGAAGAGAAATCAGTATTCTAAACTATTTATAAGAAATAAAGTAATAATCTTTCTACTGATTTCTAATAAAATGTATTAGCAGAATTGGCATCTTTATAAAAATCTGATGTTGATTATTTTGCAACTTCAAAAAATAGCAATAAGAAAAGCAATATTTTAAAAATTCTGGATGGAATATTCATGTGTAGAATTTCCTGAAAATAGATTTGATACTGAAAAAGTATATTAAATTATCAGAATAAACCTGTTAGTTCTTCACTAACAAAAACAGAACAAAAACTTATAAATATCTCTGATGAACTATTCTGTAATTTCATGATATATTAAATATAGCTAATTCCCCAGTAATATTTTTGTTCATTCTATAAAAAGGGCAAGGTCAGTCATAATACACTGAGAGTATTACAGTGAAGAAAGTAAAAGTAGATAAAAATATATAAATTTAATTTAACATAAAGATTAATACACTGATTATGTAACACTATTGTATTGCATGAATATTAGGCTTAAATGACACACAGCACAAAAATGGTGATATATTCCTTTATAAGAGAACTTTTAAATAAAGTATTACATACATGCAAAAAAGTACAAAATTCATAGTGTAAAGTCCAACAGTATTTTCACAAAATTATACCTGTGTAAGCAACACCTAGATCAAAAAATAGAACATGATCACCGTCCCAGAGAATCCTTTGTACCCCCTTCCAGTCACTATGCTCTTCCCAGAGTAACCACTATTCTGATGTCTAACACCATAGATTAATTTGCAATTTTTTTCAAATGGAATCATAAAATATGCATTGTTTGGTGTCTGGTTTCTTTCACTTAACATATGTTTCAGACATATATCTATGTTTTCTGTAGTTGTGATTCATTTTCATTGATTTGTGGTATCCCACTATACTATTATGCTGCAATTAATATATTTATTCTCAGCTGTGGAAGATGGTGGTGTAGGAGGATCCTGAGTTCACCTCCTCCCACAGACACAACAAACCTACAACGACATGTGGAACAATTTCCTCTGAGAGAGATCTGGAAACTGGATGAAAAGACACTCCACAAAGAGGGACAACACAGAGAAGGATGAAAGAGGCAGCGATACGGTCCTGTTAAGGGAAAAACCACACCCTAGCTGCGGTGCTTCACAGGCAGGAACAATCTCAAAGGTATGGAGCTTTCCAGGAGAAATGGGGGATCCGAGCTCCAAATCAGGCACCCCAGCCCTTAGATCCAGCACAAGAGAGACGAGACCCCAAAACACCTGACTTTGAAAAGAATGGAGAATATGCCCAGGAAAACTACAGAACTTCAGGGTAAGGAAAACCTGCTCTTAAAGGGCCTACACACAGACTTATTCGATCAGGAAAACAGCACAAAAACACCAGATAGAAAAGTGCATAGTCCATTGGTAAAAGAGACTCACTTACTAAGCTTGGAGAACATGCTGGAGAGGCAGGAGCGGGCTGCCATCCACTCCAGTGACTGAGACTCCAGGGACTGGCAGCTGCCATTTTTGTGACCTAGTTCAACTGTGCTGACACAGGTGCTGGCAAGTGCCATTTTGGAATCCTTCCTCTAGCCCGTTGTGCAAGAGACTGCTCTGCCCACTAGAGCATCTGAGGCAATCGAGCGCAGCCACTCAGCACAGGTAGCCCACCCCAGGGACCTTCCTGCCCACCAGTGAGCCTGCAGCAGACCTGCACTGTAGGGCCTCCCAGCCAGCCACACAGAGAATCTGCCTCGCCCACCAATGCACCTGAAAGAGTTGTGTGCCACTGTGCCGGGGGCTTGCCCTGCCAACCAGGGCACCTGAGGCAGTTTTGTGCCCTTGGACCACACAGCCATTCTGCGCCAGGGGCCTGCCCTGCCCAGTAGCACACCCAAAGCAGTTGTGCACTGTGGGGCTGCATAGCCAGCCCATGTCAAAGGCCTGCCCCACCCAAAAGTGAGCTAGCAATAGCCACAGTGCTGGGCCACATACTCAGCTGCACCAGGGGTCTGCCCATCAACCAGTGAGCCAGCAACAGTCCTGGCTGCAAAGTCAGCAGCACCAGAGGCCTGCCCCGCCTCACCAGTGCACTTGAGGCAGGTGAGCACTGGTGGGCCATGTAGCCAGCCACACAGGGTCCTTCAGCAGTTGCACACCCCTGGGACTAGCAACCAGCCATACCAGGGGCCTATCCCACCCGCCACTGAGCTCACACCAGTCATGTGCCACTGGACCCTGCAACCAGGCACACCAGGGACCTGACCAGCTCACCAGCAAACTCACAGTAGTCACAACCACCAAGCCTCATAGCCAGCTGTGCCAGGGGCCTGACTTGCCCAAGAGCACACCTGGAACAGCTGCATCTGGCCGAGCCTCACAACTGGATGCTGTCTACCCACTCAACTGCAGCAATAACAGCCCACCCAGGGGACACCTCTGGAGAATTTGGCATGGGTGATGAGAGAGGAGCACACTACTGAGCCCAGTAAGACATCTCCTACATAGGGCCACATTTCTAAGATCAGGAGATACAGCTGATCTATGTAACACACAGAAATAAGTACAGAGGAGTTGGCAAAATGAGGAGACAGAAGAATATGCTCCAAATAAAAGAAAAGGACAAATCCTCTGAAAAAGAAGTAAACAAAACAGAGATAAAAATCTACCTGATAAAGAGTACAAAGTAATGGTCATCAGGATGCTCACCGAACTCAGAAGAAGAAGAGATGAACATAATCAGAACTTCAACAAAGACTCAGAAAATATAAAAGGAACCAATCAGAACTGAGGAATACAATAACTGAAATAAAAAATTCACCACAAGGAATCAACAGCAGAGTAGATGACACAGAAGAATAGATCAGTGATCTGGATGATGGAGAAGAAGAAATCATCCAAACTGAACAGAAAAAAGAAAAAAAAAACTAGGTCAGTTTAAGGGACATCTGGGACAACATCAGACATACCAACATTTACATAATTTGAAGAAATAGCTGAAAACTTCCTTAACCTGGGGAACAAAACAGACATTCAACTGCAGGAAGCACATAGAGTACCAAGCAAGATGAACACAAAGAGGCTCACAACAAGACACATTAGAATTAAAATGTCAAGAATTAAAAATAGAGAATCTTAAAAGCTAAAAGAGAAAAGCAACAAGTTATGTACAAGGAAACTCCATAATGCTATCAGCTGGCTTTTCAGCAGAAACTTTACAGACTAAAAGGGAGTGGCATGATATATTTAAAGTGCTGAAAGAAAAAACCTACAAATAAGAATACTCTACCTGGAAAGGTTATCATTCAGAATGAAGAAAAGATAAAGAGTTTTTCAGACAAGCAAAAACTAATAAAGGACTTCATCACCACTAAGCCAGTCTTATAAAAAATGTTAAAGGGCCTTATTTAAGTGGAAAAGAAAAGGTCACAAATAGGAATAAGAAAATTATCAAAGAACAAATATCATTGGTAAAGGCAAACATATAATAAAGGCAGTGCATCAACTACCTATAAAACTAGTATGAAGGTCAAAAGAGAACAGTACTAAAATCTTCTATATCTACAATAAGAAGTTAAGGAACACACAAAATAAAGAGAGGTAAAATACAATGTCAAAAACATAAGATATGAGGGGAGGAGCAAAAATGTAGAGCTTTTAAGATGAGATCGAACTTAAGAGACCATCAACTTAAAATAGACTGCTATGTACATAGGTTGTTATATATGAACCACAAATCAAAAACTTCTATTAAATATACACACAAAAAAGAGAGAGGAATCTATATATAACACTTAAGAAAGTTATCAAATCGCAAGGGAAGAGAGCAAGAGAAGAAGAAAGGAACAGAGAAGAACTACAGAAACATACAGAAAAAAAGTAATGAAATGACAGTAAGTCCATACCTATCAAAAATTACTTTAAATGTAAATGGACTAAATGTTCCACTCAAAAGACATAGGGTAGCAGAATGGATAAAAAATAAAACCCATGTATATGCTGCATACACGAGACACACTTCAAATCTAAAGACATTCACAGACTGAAAGTGAAGGGATGAAAAAAAATACTCCATGCAAATAGAAACAAAAAGAAATCCTGGATAGCAATAATTACATCAGACAAAATAGACTTTAAAACAAAAACTAACAAGAGACAAAGAGGGGCATTACATGCTAACAAAGGAAAAACTCCAACAAGAAGATATAACATTTGAAAATATCTATTCACTCAACATAGGAGAAACTAGGTACATAAAGCAAATATTAACAGACATAAAAGGAGAAATTGACAGTAACAATAATAGTAGGGAATTTAACACCCCACTTACATCAATAGATAGATCATACCAAGACAGGAAATAAGGAAACATTGGTCCTAAATGACACACTGGACCAGATGGATTTAATAGATATATATAGAACATTCCATCCAAAAATAGCAGAATATACATTCTTTTCGAATGCACAAGGAGCATTCTTCAGGATATATCACACGTTAGGCCATAAAACAAGTCTCAGTAAATTTAAGAAGACTGAAATCACATCAAGCATCTTTTCTGACCACAATGGTTCGAAACTAGAAATCAGCTACAAGAAGAAAACTAGAAATGTTACAAATATGTGAAGATTAAACAAAATGCTACTGAACAACTATTGGGCGAATGAAGAAATCAAAGGACAAATCAAAAACTACCTGGAGACAAAGGAAAATGAAAACATGACATAACAAAATCTATGGAATACAACAAAAGCCAGTACTAAGAGGGAAGTTTATAGCAATACAGGCCTATCTCAAGAAACAAGAAAAATCTCAAATAAACAATCTAACAGTATACCTAAAATAACTAGAAAAAGAAGAACAAACAAAGCCCCAAATCAGTAGAAGGAAGGAAATAATAAAAATCAGAGTGGAAACAAATGAAATAGAGACTAAAAAAACAATGAAAAGATCAACAAAAGTGAGAGCTGTTTCTTTGAAAAGATAAATGAAATCTACAAATCTTTAGCTAGAGTCACTAAGAAAAAGAGAAGGCTTAGATAAATGAAATCAGAAATGAAAGAGTAGAAATTACAACAGATAACACAGAAATACAAAAATATGAGACAATACTATGAAAAGCTGTGCACCAACAAATTGGAAAACCTAAAAGAAATGGATAAATTCTTTTCTTTATCCAAGAAAGCTGGAAGAACTGAATAAATTCCTAAAATCATACAGCCTTCCAGAACTGAATCAAGAAGAAATAAAGAATCTGAATAGACAATCACAAGCAAAGAGATTGACACAGTAATCAAAAACCTCCCCAAAACAACAGTCCATGACCAGATGGCTTCCCTGGTGAATTCTACCAAAAACATTCAAAGAAGATTTAATACCTATCCTGCTCAAACTCTTCCAAAAATTGAAGAGGAGGAGACACTTCCTAACTCATTTTACAAGGCCAACATTACCCCTGATACCAAAACCAGACAAGGACAACACAAAAAAAGAAAATTACAGGCCAATATCACTGATGAATATAGATGCAAAAATCCTCAAAAAAATATTAGTAAATCAAATATAACAATACACTGAAATGACCATACACCATGATCAAGTGGAATTTATCCCAGGGATGCAAGAACGGTTCAACATCCACAAATTAGTCAATGTGATAAATCCCATTAACAAAATGAAGAATAAAAATCACGTGATCATATCAATAGATGCAGAGAAAGCATTCAACAAGATTCAGCATCCGTTTATGATAAAAACTAACTGAATAAAACGAGTACAGAAAGAAGGTACCTCAACATAATAAAGGCCATATATGACAAACCCACAGCTAATATCATACTCAATGGTGAAAAACTGAAAGCTATCACTCTAAGAACAGGCACAAGGCAAGGATGCTCCCTTTCACCACTCTTATTTAACATAGTATTGGAAGTCCCAGCCAAAGCAATTTGGCAAGGAAAAGAAATAAAAGGGATTCAAATTGGAAAGGAAGAAGTAAAACTGTCACTATTTGCAGATGACATGATCTTACATATAGAAAACCCTAAATAATCCACCAAAAGCTACTAGAAATAATAAATGAATAGAGTAAAGTTGCAGGGTACAAAATCAACACACGAAAATCATTTGCATTTCTATACACTAACAATGAAACAGCAGAAAGATATCAAGAATACCTCCCATTTATAATCACAACAAAAAATAACATAAAATACCTAGGAACAAATTTAACCAAAGAGGTGAAAGACCCTGTACACTGAAAAGTATAAAACATTGTTGAAAGAAATTGAATGAGACACAAGAAAGGGAGAGATACTCCATGCTCATGGATTGGAAGAATTAACATAGTTAGAATGTCCATACTACATAAAACAATCTACTGATTCAATGTGATCCCTATCAAAGTCCCAATGTCATTTTTCAAATAGAGCAAAGAATCATAAAATTTATATGGAATAACAAAAGACCCTGAACAGCCAAAGCAATCCTGAGAAAAAAGAACAAAGTTGGAGGCATTACACTCCCCAATTTAAAAATATACTACAAAGCTATAGTAATCAACACAGCATGGTTCTGGCAGAAAAACAGACACACAGATCAATGGAATAGAATCGAAAGCCCAGAAATAAACCCACACATCTATGGACAGCTAATCTTTGACAAAGGAGCCAAGAACATAC